ATATTCCCAATCCTTAGATTTTAAGTTTAAAGTACAGTATATGAAGACATAAGTGTAATGGCCCAAATGTTAGCATGGTTTTGGTAATTTCTTTAAATCCAAAAATGCATTTCACAAGTTATTAAACTTCAATGCTGTTTTTGAATCAAGAAGGGCACACCTTCATCTACCTAGTTAAAATTTCCATTTAGATGTCTATTACTTGAATCCTAACAATGGCACTTTTACTCTTCGTTTATGTCAGGGCTCCGAAAAGCGGGAAACGTAAAACTGAAAATAACAACCATGCGCGTCAAATCGTTGAAAATACCATTCTACCCTAAAAGTGCATTGAGTTGCATTACCAGACTCATTTAAAAAACTTAGGTTTTGTGGTTACATCGCAAAACGATCACAATATTAGGGGAAGAACTTGTCCTAGGATTCATGAAAAACCATCGAAAATGAGCTTTCAACGGTTCACCCTGTGTCTCTTTCTAACACATGTATTTTGACTGTATTATAATTGCTTTATTTGTTTTAGGTAAGTTGCTACGACATACCTACTGATGGCGGAAATGGCAAGTACATTTATTGATTTTTTTCACATTGTCGCCGTAACTTTTTACAAAATTATTAATTAATGGCTCCGGACCAAATATTTCATAGGGGATTTTGGGATTGACTCAAGCGCCGCAAATTAACATAAAGAAGGATACCTTACACTCTGCTGAGTATCCCCACCACATGCAGGTATTTCCGGAAAAAAATTATCTCGGGTCTGACTTATAATAAGCTAGAAAGAAACCCAATAAGCATTATATGAGTGTTAAGTGAGATAGAATACAAACTAAAAGCGCTGATGCCTTACATGCCTTTTTTGAGTAGACTAGTATCAATGATACATTTAATTGCTACTGTCAATGTGAACATTGGTAAAGTTATGTCTCTCCCACACTCGTATAATGTTTACTGGGTTTCTTTCTAGCTTATTATAAGTAACCTGCAATAATTGTCCACATAATTGTAGATCTAGCGCAGCCCATAAGAATAGTAACAAAAATCGATCGTTAGAAATACTCGAACGCTCAAATTAAAGTAAGGTTGGTTGACTACATGTTGAAAAGCATTTCAATATAATCTACCGATTTGAGTGTGAATTTTTTAATTTTGAAGAAAATTATTCAAGGATAAAAGGCCGTCAGATTAAGAGAATCCCTCTATATTATCGTCAGGTTATGGGCCAGGACGACTAGGAGTATTTCAAAGGATTCCAAGGGAGTTTGGGAGGGCCTCCCAAACTACTCCCTGAAATTTTTAGTGTACTTGATGTTTTCTATTGTCGTGAATGGCTCAGCAGTTAAGATGTTTTGCGAGTCATTAAGAGTCTTGAAGGGTTTTAAGAGTATTTCCAAACATTAAAGATCCCTTAACGGCCTTAGTTCCTCCCTTAAGAGCTTTAAGGACATTTGAGATTCTTCAAAGCAATTTAGTTTCCAAAGGCCTTTGTGAGTCTTGCGAATTTTTATATTTTTACAGAGAAAAAATTAATAGTAAGGTACTTATCAACATTTCTTAGGAGGAATGAGTTATTTTCCAGAGGGTACATTGAAAAACTGAAAAATATTTAATCTGTATAATCGTCCACACACAAGTCGATTCCATTGTAGCAGACTTCAAATTTGGCTATTGTGTCTTTTGTATGTATGTGCCATTGAGACCCTTTTCCATTTAAATTGATTTGAATAGTTACGGAGCTCACGATTTACTCGAGCGTCGTAGGGACCTATAGAACGAAAAAAAGTTATATGATGTACATGTACATACATCCCTCCACTGGTGCGGGGCGCGTCCACACTTTTTTAATAATGTACAAAAAAATAGTCACATGAAAATACTCGACTCGCGCGTCAGATATTGGTAGTGCCGCACGTGTCTCTGATATCTGTCGGTTTGCATGGTGGGCGATGCTGTAAAAAAAGAGATTTATTCGAGCGCGTATATTATATATAATCATTGACTAATATATGAGTCAATGGTATAATTTATGACCCGATCGCCTATGATTCCAGTAAACTGGCATGCTTCAACTGCTGAACGCACTGAACTTTATTGACGATTTGTTCCACTTTGGCATGTGGAAATCGGCAGCTTATGTTAACTTCTAAAATTCTTGAATAATTTCCTTTGAAAACGCGCTCGAGAATTGCAAGGTAACGTTTTTTATGCAAGTTTGCGACCTTTCCACTCCCACGCATCTCAAATCGTCAGATTATTGAAAGGCACACTTTTCAACACGCAGTCAACCCACCTTATTAATTTGACGCGCTCAAGTACATCCCAAATCCTCGACGAATTTTACAATAGTTGTAAATTTAAGTCAGTATTTTTGAAAAATACGAAAAAAAGGAACTTAATAGTAGTACGATGCTTCAAGACCCAGTGGGGCAAAGTGCTTAAAAAATCCACACAAAACAATAGCTCTTTGCGAAGAAGACGCTTTACCCATCTGAAATAGGGTTGCATCTCTTAAGAAGGCGCGTCAATTGAGAATCAAATTATTTCCCTCGATATCATCTTACAGGGGGTAACAGTAAAGAATTGTTAATTTGATAACCTGAAAACCGTAAAATGTCGAGGTATAATTTACACCTTATCCATATCTACAATTTCGTTCATACTCAACAATTTTGCCTCCATTAAAAATAACGTAACATAAAATTTGCTTCATATACAATGCCGGTAATAATATAATGTATGGGAGATCGTCTGACGTAGGTAAAAAAGAGGTTCAACATTTTTGTACTTTTTTTCCGTAGTAACAGAACGTTAGTGGACGAGTATAAAAAAGTACGTATTACTTGTTTCCATTCGACCCTTTCATAGAAATGAATTGAATGCTGAAGCAAAGAAGTTCGAACGGTAACCGTTGATCCTCCGCATTCAGTCTAATAGTGAATAAGACCATTGAATTCGGAGACAATATTTAATATATGAACTATAAAATATAGCAGTGTGTTTTGAGAATATACACAAATGGTCAATCAATCAACTTTGAATCAATGCAACTGAATGTATAAAATAGACGAAATTTGTTTCTCTTTTGATCAGAGCTTTAGATGCTCCCTTTAAACTACGCTCAAAGCACCATATATTCGGCCCTTTTTTCTGTTAACCGCACTTTTTTATCAGTTTGAATTACGAATCGTTTGTCAGTCGTTGTTGCCGTTTTCGTTTTTATCAGCTAGACCTAACAGGCATTGGGTTCCCATTGAAGCATGTTAAACGAGTCGATTACAGTGTTTCATCGCCATGTACAAATTGGTTACAAATTCTGCGGTATACGAGAGAAAAATGTGGACTTGCTCGATATAATCCCCTCTTAAGGGGCGGCATCGTCATCGTTTCTCTTATAGATCGGCGATTATGTCTATGAAATCGTAAACAAGAGTCCACTTTTACAGATTGTGGGTGACACACATACTACACATTAACTTTTAGCACTTATCTTAAGATGGAAACTTGCGTGCTGTTATAACCACTAAAGGAGCTTTATATAACGGTCGGTGCATACGACAATAACGTTGCAATTAAGTAACTGGTGCCTTAAGGAATAGCCCTTCTTTTTCATATTGACATTACGCTCATTTTGTAATATTTCGTAATTTGCATTCATTTCAGCAGATCTTTTTCACTTGTATCACGTGGTCTAACGAAACGCTAACATAGTTTACGAACGGCAAGCGTAAAACGTACGCAGTTAAAATATTTAAAAAATAAATTTTAACATTGTTAGTAAGCGACAATGCACCATTTTTTTTAGGACGATTATCGCTAATTGAACAAAGAGAAACTCGCCATTTATTACATATCCGACCGGTGCTTTTTATAATAACAATCGAAAGTAATGAAATATCCATTGCGTGCAATCATTTGTTCCGATTCCAGCTGTAATATCGTAAGGGTTTTGATAATCATCGCTGTAATTTGTTGTAAGCAATTATGTTTGAACATGTTCAACATGGTCGGTTTTGTGTATGTGCCTACTTCATTAAAATTTGCAAGGTTAGTGAAAACTACATTTTTCCATTTTCTCGTTTAACGAGAGTAATTATTTTTCAGGATCTTTTACATTATTTTAACTCGTCCTTTTGCGTTTATCTCAACAAAGGAGGTTCGTTATTTTTGACGGACAGGCCGCAGGGAAGCGGAAGCCTTTCGATATTCGCACTTGTCATGCTTTCGGCTTCTCCGAACACTCGAAATAAGGACTTTGGATGACTGTGTTTGGCCGACCTCGCAAAACGGATCTTTTTAGACACAACTGTTCCGTTTCCTTAGTAATTTTTGTTTACACCTTGAACTTCCAAAGCCGATTCGACAGCAACTCATTTCTGATCGCCCATTACTTGTTTATAAATCAAGGGTGGAGCAATTTGCCTGATTCATCAAATTACTACGAAGTCAAAATCAAAGCCCTGGACAGAGTGGCGCAGGACGAAGTATTGTGATATTGATATAATTCCTAATGTGCTATTATAGTAGTGTGAGATCTGGATATAAATATTTCGCATAGCAGGTGTCCTATTTTGGAAGATCCTAGCGACTGCAATGCTCTCCGAACCGATCAACTGCGGGAAAATCGCATTCATTCACGATATTTCAATATTTGAGTAACGCGCCACAATTTTCTTCCTTTTTTGGACATATTTGGGAAACAATCAAAATTTCTAGTATGAATAATAAACTGGTATAGCATCATACAGGAAAACGCTTGGTTTTATTTCTCTTACCATCTTCAGATTAACATTATGTAATGACCTGTACAGTTGTTTCCTAACTCGAACCAGAAATCGGTGCAAAACGAGGTAAAATATGCGGAAAAGTGTTAACCATAAACAAATTCATGTGAATTAGCGCATTTTTTTTTCAAACTTTTGTTCACTTCTCTCCGTATCTTCTCACTTCACGTTTTTCTATGAGGTGCGTCTTGTTATGCAGTAGAATGAAGGTGTACTTACAGTATTCTTAATGATGACGCTGAAGACACAGGTGCACTTAATTCACCGGTTCACGAAACACAAAATTCGATAATATAAAACCAAAGGAGGTTGTGCTAAAAACAGGTGTTCTACAAGAACTGGAGTAAAAAGATGTGGACCTGCGGTTTCACTGTTGTTACTTCTTGCAATTAAGAAGGAAGGGGAAGAAGTTGCACTTTCCCTTGCATACATATTGTATAAACGCTGTGATTGTCAGTAGTTGACTACCACGTCTGGGAAAATTATTCGTAAATAAAATATTACGCATGTTGCGTGCGTTGATTACACGTTTAATCGGAGTTAATAAATAATATAAAATTATTTATAGAAAGTTAATTACGCGAAATGACTCTTTTGGAATTTAATGTATCGCATCGCATTTTAAAGTAGCCGTCAATGTTATTGTCAAGGCAGTAATTCCTTAATTTCCAGGTGACTTATGAAGTACATTGCACAATTGTGAAACTAAATATTCCGTCCAGTCATACTATACACTTTCAAATTTTTTCTTTGTGACATTTTACGGATTTTGTATAGCACAATATGAGTCAACAATAAGGATGTAGGCACTCACGCAATCAGGTGCTTTTCAGGAGCGAATCATGACTTGACCTTTCTCTCTTATTATTATTATTATTAGTATGTAATTATTGCTTAATACCCAATAATTCTATTGGTGCTAATCTAATAATATGCACGTCTTTCTTTTCCTATCATAATCCGCACTTTCACTTGACAAAATGTATGCGTAGACTAGGACATCGTGTAACCTTTTGACCATAAAAACTTTCGTTAACAAAACTGGATCACGTTACGGTTATTGACGTCGGAATGAATAAATTGTAAAATTAACCGTTTTTATATTCGTAATTATGCATATCGCTACAAAACAAGCAAGCCAGAGCCAATAATTTAGGAGTTAAGTAGATAATTTGATTGTAAATTAGTAAACGCAACGGGGACAAAAATGTAGATTCTGTAACATCTGGGCAAGGCCGTTGTTATTGAAAGTAAAAGTTTTTGACATGTTCCGATCTACCGACTTTTCTTTATTAATTATGCTGTTATTGAACTTTAAAATTTGGTGAAATCTCTTTGTGACCTAAAGCATTACGTATAGAAACAAAATATTTGGGCGTGAATACGTGTTTTTAAATCTTGTGCACTATTACACAAATTTCTCCGATTTCAGAATTGAATGGAAATACCAGGCCTCGTGGAAGGGGTGTTGAAAACTTTTATAGTCGAGTCAATAAAGCATAATTAGCCATCCCTCAATTCTCAGGTGCAGATCTTATTTAGATGCTGGAAGTTTTCTTTTGTGTAATATAGTCCAACAATACATCGCGTGTCATATAAGTATGTAAAAGGACTTGGCAACCCACAAGAATGGAACAAACGGATTTACATAAGTTTTTGGGTGTGCTCAATACGGTTTATTATATTATATTATGCAATTGTTATTTTTCCGCAATTCCATCACCCAATATTTTACATATTTTTTTTTGCAACCAAATTCCTTTTACGGATATTAAGTGCAATACAAGTCTGTTTCATGCAATTAATGTTCACAAGATCGGTGCCTTTAAGGATATTATGATCATCGACTGCAAATTCTTAAAGATAACCCACCAATACTTTATACAATTTAAACATCAGTAAAGTAACTTACAGATATCGCTGGTTTTGTTTAGGTTACAAATGATACGGCTCTCACTTGAAAAAAACTCCCTCCATGAAGACTTGTAAACTGGATCGCTTTGGGGGTGATACGATAGAACTCTTGTGACTCGCTCTGGTGTCATTGCCTCTCGTATGGAAATGTTGAGGATAATGAAGGTTGTATTTACCTCGACCGTATTCAAAACTTGCGTCAAATTCTCCAAGAAATCACCTGAGTTGTTAGTGCGCAAGAAAAAGTTCGACTTCAAATTACTCTGCACACGCTAATTTTTCCACCTATTATTTTAGTTTTTTGTGAGAAAATGTGCTACTTCTCCGCAATGAGGACACTAAACATTCGGTGAATTTGCCTCTTTTGTTGAACCGAATACGTTCGCAATATAAAAATTAACTTTCCCTGCGTAACAACTGAGTTAATATCGCCTCCGATGAAACAGTGGAATATGTTTCCGCGCTGCACTCAAGCGAGTGGTCTTTATCGAAAATTCATTACCACTAAAACTGCGTTGACGCGGCTGATTTTATATTCGCCAGTATTCTTTAACAGTGGGTCTGGCTTGGCGCTGCTTTTAACAAAACCCGCCGCATAAACGGCCAGCTAAGCTCAGTGTTTTTGAATATGGAAGCAAGAGAAGGTTCAAAGCAGTAAAGTTCGTTCTGGGCAAGACAATCTCCGTGCGTTATGGTTGAGCGCCACCCAATTTCTAATGTACACTATCAACTCACCCTGCATAAAATTGGGAAGATACAGGATGCACAATAACCATAAATGCAAATCAAACGGCTCTATATTGCTGGTTGCTTTCAAATAAATTGCAAAATAATATAGATATATATGTGAAATTACACACTGCACAAATCATAAAAAAAAAACCCAATTAATTCCCAACAATTATACTCCAGTTCAAAAATGATTGCCCCCAATTACTGTTCCTTAATGATCGTTAAGATTAATAAATGAATCACACATATAAATTACAAAATGGTTACGTTACTACCGGTCACAACTAGTAACGAAAATATCCCAACGCAAGTTCGGTAACAACAAGGCAAATAGAATATAACGCTTACCTTATGTAATATTCCAGATGTGAGGCAGCAAAGAGAGCTCTGTTTGCACCATTCATCTCTGCAATCAAAAGAGAACAAAAAGGGCCCAAACCACAGGGTTCGGAATATATTATGAATAAATGTCTGAAGGACCTACGAAGCTTGCGGTAAGCTCAAATCTCGATACCCCTCTAAAAATGTCTGTGTCTCTGATGGAGTGTCGCAGCCACACAAAAATTAATATATCCGATCAAGCAAAAAAAAGGCATTCTCGATCATGTCGAAACAGTATGTAGTTAAATGAGTTTCTCCCTCGTCTTCATAAAATGGCCGCTCTTATCTCCCTCAGATAAGGTTGTTGGTCACGACCTCCTAGGTGTCTATGGTTGATAATGAATCTCCAAAATTTTCCCCCAATCAACAGGTGATCTCGAACAAGATATTTCCCCCGAACAAGGAATTTCGGTATCGAACAAGGACCCTAAAATAGTTTAAGCTAAAACTTCCTACACACACACATGTAAAATTCGTTACCTCTAAGTAAATTTAAGAGGAATTAAATACCAAGCGTTCCTCAATTACACATCTTCCAGTATATCCGTAATCTACAATGGCCGCCATAAGAAAAGAAATTATTTAGATAAGCGTACTTACTCGAAGAAAAAAAGTTTCACGTTAAAGCCCGATGAACGGTAAAATGCTGCAGACTACTTGTCTCGCAATTAATACGGGTAGAATTGCCAAAGTTTTTAACTAACAGTGGTGGCAAAGATTACCCACGTGTTTTTCTTTTCTCACGCAGAACGGCTTAGTTGTTCGTTCGATCAGAGTCGGAATCGGAAAGAAAAAGCATGTACAATTTTGGATCGCGCTGTAAGGTCCTGCCACCTGGCGGAACTAATCCAACGCATAGAAGTAGAAATTTATATACAGGGCGTACCGAATGTAAAATACGGAATGATGCAAAGAAGAAATGAACTTGTTACATCTTTTAATGCGGCGATCTCTCTTAAAATAGCGCGATTCTAAAAATTGAACGGAGAACTCACACGCTATACGTACTTGCCCCATGAAAAACCGAAACGGAACCAAAGCAAATGCCACGATGGCGTGCCCTGTAATCCAATAATCTGCCCGTATTTCAGGCCCGTTGCGCAATTTCAAAAGGAAATATTTTGAATATTTACCTAAATGGGGTAAATAAATTGATGAGACAAAAGTGATAGTTACAAATAACATCGAATTTGGGCCTTTCGAACACAAATGCGCTTCTTTTAAAATAATTTAAGCATATTCATCTTTACTCAGGCTTATTACAGGTTTGCCAATTTTACTTTTCTGCATATAATGCATTGTTTGTAGAAAAACGATTCATCGCGGGAAAACAATTTTAAAATGATGTGAGAAGAATTTTATGAACAATTGTCACAGGATTCTGTATTAATATTAACCTTTCCTCAATAGGAGCAGACCCCTCACAAGGGCGATTTTAAAAATTGATTTTCCCACCGTTGAAATTTTTGTTAGGACGTGAGAAAATTCACTTTCGAGGAAACTCGCGCCGGAAATTTCTCTCTGAAGATTCTCTTCAGGGAAATTTGGTCAATCGCTCATACGCAAAATTTTCGCTAACGAACCATAATCCTCGAAATATCGCTCCGACGAAACTCGACGTTCAGAAAAGAAAGTTTCATTTTCAAGTACATAAAATTTTGAAAGGAAACCTGCCTCTCATTTACCTTTCTGAATTTTCTTTTTTTTTGTGATTACGTATATAAAGGAAAAACGCTACATTGTATTCTCTGCAAGAGGCATACCTTCTTTAATAGCAAGTTTTCATTGAACTGTGGTGGCTTATGTGGGCAAAATGTTTCGTGAGCGAAATTACTAGGAAAAATTTACCCACGTCGAATTTTCTTGGCGGCGAAGCCATATTTCCCTCGGATAAATTTGCCGAAGGTGGATTCTCCATAAACAAGGAACCAATTACCCGGAGCGGGTTTTCCGGAATTTATTGCATGCGATCTCTTTAACAAAACAGACGAAATCTTAACGTTAAATCTTATATATCCGTACAGATAAAAATACTACCCTTATCAAAATTCAACCTACATACAGCGATTTTATTTATTTATAGCTATAAGTTAAAATGTATATACTTGCAACGTAATAGCAGCTTTAGCAGCGACTAATTAAATTACTCCGCGTTCCCCATTTTCTCGAATGACTAGTCCACTTGCCTATTTGCATTTCATATTGTTTGTGGACTTTTAATGAAAAAGTGAAGATTACTTCGAAAATGAAAATAAGGACTACAACCACGAAATGTAACGTTTGGGGCTCGAAGTCATTTCGGCTTGGAATCATTTGGAATACATTGTGACGCAAATAACTTTCGGTCTTCAATTTTTAATGATTTTTTTAATGATTTTTTTCAAGGGCACAAGGTAAATTAATGTTGTGGACCTCATTCATTT